TGATTTAATTGATAAGAAAACTTTATTTTTTATCTTATTAATTAAAGTTAAATTCTCAATTAAATTAATAAAAAATTAATTTAATTTTTTAAAAAATTTAATGTAAATGATTAATGTTTAATTTAATCATAAAAAACTTAATCTGGAGTTAAACATAAACTAAGACGAAAATATTTCCTCAAAAAAAAAAGAAGAAAAAAGAATAAGACGAAAACAGAATGACCGCTAAAAAAATACGATATGATACAGTGTCGATCACATGGAACATTGCTGTATCACAAAAAAGAAAATTGAGGTGTAACAATTAACTCCACAGGAATTAGGCTAGTGTCACCCACAACCTAGTCCCAATAGCTTGGCGGTGGGTTTTAGCAATCACGTCCCATAAAATTCAGACAATCCCATCCATCCAATCCAACAATGCCTCTTAAAGTACTCCCTTTCCATTGCACCACACCCACCATGTCTGCATCCACTCAGCTCCACTCAGCTCCACTCAGCAGTCGGCATCCCATGTCTGCATGAGATGATCTGAATAAATAAAGTCATAAAACGATGGGTTTTCAATTGGCAAAAATATGGGATAAGGACATGAATTTACACAAAATTCATAATTTTATATCTAGACTTCAATTGTATTCAATTAAAGTCTTAAATTACATAAAATTCTTCAATAAAATCTCAATTAAGTGAAAAATTAACTTGCCATTAAATGTTAACTCACTAAGAGAGTAATGAATATTAATGGAATTGTAAGGCATTTTTTATAACGAGTTAATTTTCTATCTAATTGGGATTTTTATTATGGGAAATAGAAAAATATATTAAATAATAAGAAATTATAACAAAATCTTTATCTAATGGTATATAGCCAAAATCAAAATAACCTAAGGACAAAATTATAAGCATAACCTACAGCACTAGTAATATATTTAAACTATGCACATAACGAATATAGACAATTAAACAAAGAGAGTTATCAGCAATTAGGGATTGAATTTATAATCGTTGTATAGACTAAATATGACTATTAATGTAGAAAGGAGAGTCTCTATGAGCATTAAGAACTATTGGACATCCTTACCTATTTAACCAGCTTCTTGAAGAGAGTAAGGGATTTCGACAACAAACAATCCCCCACCCACAAGTTGCCACTCTACTTGTTCTTAAAAAAGAACAACCAAGAGGGGTATGAGCCTTTTCCTGACAAGCACAAGGCCCCTCAATCGCCTCAATATGCTCCCAATCATGTTCCAATATTTGCCAATCCTCTTCAAACCCATGTTGTTGAAGAAACTCATTGAGGGAACTAGAGTCCCTTTGCTAGCTTGAAAATCAGTCTTCCCATGCAGACCATAGTCGATCTTACCAACAACATCCCTTTCCTTTGGCAATCAGCTAGCTAATCGGGAACTGGAGTAAACCAAATTCGTCGAATTCAACCCCCACCAAGATCCCATCTGAGGAGATGCACCAAAACGAGATTCTTGCCCATTAAATAAGAGAAACCCACTTCATCGGCAAGATCAATTCTAATCGTAGCATTCGAAAATCAACAGATGTAAACCATAGAAAACCCAAAAAGCCGCTACCTTATGGTCTCTTGGGTTGAAGTTTCCAAAGCAAGACAACGACAAGAGGAAGAAGGAAATCAAGAGGAGGAAGGGAAGGGTAAGAAGAAAGGAGGGATCAAGAGGAGGAAGCAGTGCACGGGAGAAATCCTAGGGAGGAGAAACCCTAGGAAGGCTCCATAATTCGACATTTATCTAATTGGGATTTTATTTGAAAATTTTGTGTAGTATGAGATTTTAATTGAACGTAATTGAAGTTTTAGTCTAAAATTACAAAATTTATGCAAGTTTGGACCCTCATCCCATACTTTTGCCCTTTTTATTTCGTACGTCCACAAGTTAGGTTTTTTTTTTTTAACTAAATTTTTTTATTTAAAAATTATAGTAGACTTTAATTAATATAAGATTGAGTTAAGTTAATATCATAAAAGAAAAATTCTCTTAACATTTAATTTATAAAATTTAAATTTAAGATTTATTTAAAAAAATTAAAATTAATTTATAAAAATTAATAAATTACTAATAATATCTTTTTCTCATATCAACATCTCATGGGTCATTATTACGTGAGTAAATTCATTATTTGTGGGTTGTGGGGTCCCATCTTAGAAACATGCATGTTTTTATGGGGAGAGCATAAAGGACATTTCACCGGTTTTGTAGAATCCAAGATTGGGGAATGAAACCATTTTTGGCTTGATTTTGTCTACAAATTTTGA